CTATTCACTCGGTTTCTTAAGTAAACTCTCTCTCTCACACACACACACACACACACACACACACACAGATACAAACATATCAACATATCTTTTGTGTCATCCTTGACTTCTCTCTTTCTCTAGCGGCTAACATCCAGTGAGCAAATTCTATATGGATTACCTTCAAAATATGTCTAGAATTTAGTCATTTCTCATCACCAATTCTAAATCATCTTGATCTCTTATCTAGATTATTGTGAAATCTTCTTAATTTATTACCCTGTGCATTAGTATCCAATTGCCTTTGTGCAAATTACCATTAATTTAATAGATTAAAATGACGTAAATTCATTCTCTTATAGTTCTGGAGGACTAAAGTCAAAAATGAGTCATTTTGAGCTAAAATCAAGGTGTTGGTAGAGCTGAGTCCTTCTGGAGTCTTCAGGGTAGAATCCATTTGGTGCTCCCTCCAATTTCTGGTGGTTAGCAGCTTTTCTTGACTTTGTGACCGCATCACTCCCACCTCTGCTCTGTTGTTATGCTGCTTTCTCTCTTTCTTTAGTCAAATCTCCCTTTCCCTCTTTAAAAGACAATTGTGATTACACTTAGGACCCACCCAGATAATCCAGGCTAATCTCCCCAATTCAAGATTCTTAATCACAGCCACAAATTCTGTTTTGCCATATTAGGTGATATTCATAAATTCCAGGGATTGAGAAATGACATCTTTGGGGTTTATTATTCAGTTTACCACAGTCTTTTCTGGACCCCAAAGGTTTATGTCCTTCCCTCATGCAAAGTACATTCTCCTCAACCCAACATCCTCACAAGTGTAAGCCCATTCCAGCATTAACTCAAGTCCAAAATCTCATCTAACTATTATCAACAAAAGTTCAAGATCCCATAATCTAAATCAGGTGTTGGTGAGATGCTATGTATGATCCATCCTGGGGCAAAATTTCTCTCCATCTATGGAGACCTGCAAAATTAGAAAACAAATTCTCTGCTCCCAAAATACAATGGTTAGACAAGATAGGGTAACAGTTATAGAAACTCCAATTCCAAAAGGGAGAAAATGGAAGGCAGAAAGGAGTAACGAACCCTAAGTAATTTCTAAATACGACTTGACAAACTCCATTAGGTTTTAATGCCTAGGAATAATCCACTGTGGCTTGAGGCTCTACCCTCTGGACCTTCAGCTCTGCCTTCAGAGTTATCCTTCCTATTTCTTGAAGGGTAGCACATGTTTGCAACTAAGTAGTGTTGCCCACCTGTTTCCTGCCTATAAAATTTTAGCAGTTTAATGGCCTTCTTTCATTTTTCCTGTCTCTCTTCCTTTTCATCCAAGCTGGAAGTGTTTCTATTTGTATGTTCTCAAAATATTTGTGAGTCTCATGTACATCATGAGGATTCGTGCAATTAGACAAGAGGCTCCACTGTGTGTTTTTCCTGTATAATCTCATCTCTATTCCTGACTTTTGCTGAGCTGGCTAAGTAGATCCTTGAGTCACATGTTAAATGTCTTTGTTGTCCAGCCACACTTGGTTTTCTCTTCAGAGCATACTTTCCAGCCAGTGAACTTCTTAATTTTAGCATCTATTAAAATTTGGATAAGCTGACGTTTTCCCAAATTATCAAGTTCTGGTTCTTTTTTCATAAGAATTCTTCCATCAATTTTATCACTTTCCTTTCACATTTTACTATAAGAAGCAAGAGAAAATCACATTGCATCTTCAATGCTTTGCATGAAAATATCCCTAGCTAAATATCCACGTTATAATTTCTACTTTCCATATAACCATAGAACTCAATTCACTTGCACATTTACAACTATAGAAGGGATTCCATTTTCTCCAGTCTCCTAACCTGTTTTTCACTCCTCCTGAGCACTAACATTCCATGCCTTTAATATTTGTATTTCAATCAAAATGTTCTTTATGACTAGGTATTCTCTAAGATGATATAGGCTTTCTCTACTGTGCTCCTCACTTCCTTCTGAGCCCTAATCATCAACACCTTTAACATCAATACTTCACCAACAGTCCTGTTTATGGCAATTTAGATATTATAAAAGATGATATAGGGTTTTTCTATCATGCCCCTAACTTCCTCCAGAGTTCTTGTCAGCAGAGTATTTAACATCCATATTTCTACCAACAGTTTTTTCAAGGCAATCTAGGCTTTTTCTATCATACACTTCTAAATTCTTTCAGCCTTTGCTCACTGCCAAATACTAAAGTCATTTTCATATTTTTAGATATTTGTTACTGCAGCCTTACTGCTGGTGTGTTAATTTTCTATTTGCATTAATTAATTTGTACTAATTTTCTAGTATTGCTGTGGAAATATACCACAACCTCAGTGGATTAAACAACACAAATTTGTTTTCTTACAATTCTGGAGGCCTGAAGTCTGAAATCAATCTTACTAGGCTAAAATCAAGGCATCAGCAGGGCAGGTTTCTTCTGGAGGTTCTGGGGACAGAACCCATTTCCTTGCCTTTTTTTAGCTTCTAGTGACCACCTGAATTCTTTGGCTTGTGTTCCCTTTCCCTTTCTTCAAAATGCATCACTCCAATCTCTGCTTTCATCATCAGAATGCTTTCTCCTCTGACTCTCTTGTGTCCCTCTAATAACAACTCTGGTAATTACATTTAGTGCCCTCCTGGATAATCCAGAATAATTTCCTGATCTCAAAGTTCTTAACTTAATCACACGTACAATTCTTTTTCGCCATATAAGTTAACATTCACATGTTCCAGGGATTTGGATATGGGTATTTTGAGGGGTCATTTATCAGCCTTCCACAGTGCTCAATATTTATTAGTTGAATGAATAAATTAATCAAAACCACATCATAATTTTTTATTCAAATTCGAAGGATTGACTCATTCAATTACCAGAGAATACAATTTCGAGAAGAGTAATAAATGAAATAAAAATGCAGCAAAAAAAAATAGGACAAAAAGGAAGTCATGTTTGTGAAAAGTAGATTTGAAGTAGAGGATACATAAAGTGGGAAGGAATAAAGAATTTTGACAGCAGGATTTTACCCAGAACAAATCAAGCAAATTAAAATTACTCAATTATATCAAACTATATATTTGAAAGTGAATTTTAAACAGTAAAACAGTGTGCCTTTTCCTCTATTCATTATTTTTTTACGTTTCCATCATTGAAAAAAGAAAGAGTGATAGATAGTTCATAATCATTGGATAACAGAAGCCCAATATGTCATTCTATTCCATTACAGTTATAGACTTTTGTGTTCTGTTTAAGAAGTATGTAGGGGCCCACCTGGTGGCACAGTGGTTAAGTTCGCATGTTCCATTTCTGTGGCCCGGGGTTCGCCAGTTCTGATCCCAGGTGCAGACAGGGCATCGCTTGGTAAGCCATGCTGTGGCAGGCATCCCACATATAAAGTAGAGGAAGATGGGCACGGATGTTAGCTCAGGACCACTCTTCCTCAGCAAAAATAGCAGGATTGGCGGCAGATGTTAGCTCAGGGCTAACCTTTCTCAAAAAAAAAAAAAAGAAAAGAAAGAAATATTTATCTACTCCACTATCATTAAGATATTCTCCTGTGCTACCTGCTGGAAGCTGTGCTGTTTTACCTTTCAGCTTTAGGTCTACAATACATCTAGTATTGATTTTGGTGCCTGATGTGAGATAAGGGTCAAGAATAATGTTTTGTCCCTTGAAGATACTCAAATTACTAGTACCATTTATTGAAAAATACCATCTTTCCCCAATGTATAACTACTTTGGGATAATTCACGTGACCATAACTATATAGGTGTCTTTTTGTGGTCCTTCTTCTTTTCTATTGGTTATTTGTCTTTGTGCCAATACTATGTTGTCTTAATTGCTGTAACTTTATAATAAGTTGTTATATTGATATTTGGTAATGCATATCCTTCACATTTATTGTTTTTCTTCCAAATTGTTGTGTATATGTTTGATTCTTTCATTTCTATATAAAATTTGGAATCAACTAGTCAGTTATCACAAGAAGCAAAAAAAAAATTTATTGGGATTACACTGAATCAATATATCAATTAGGGAAGAATTGCTGTACTTATAATATTGAGTCTTCCAATCCCCGAACATGGTATATACCTCCATTTATTTGTGTTTTCTTTAATTTATCTTAATATTTGCTTCTATTCTTCAGTGTAAAGGTATTATACGTTATATTTTTAGATTTATTCCAAAGTACTTGGTGTTCATGATATCATTTACATGGTATTATTAAAATATTTTCTAATTGTTTTGTTGGACATAGAATTATAATTAATTTTCACATTTAGTTTTTGTATCTAACAATTGTACGAAATTCATTTATTAATTCTAATTGTGTGCCTGTAGCTATTTTAGATTTTCTATGTAAGAAATAATGCCCTCTGTAAATAATAACAGTTTTATTTCTTCTTTTTCTATTTTTAGACTTTTTACTTATTTTTTTCTTGCCTTGTTGCACTGGCTAGGACCTCCAGTACAACGTTAAATTGAAGTTGTACTAGGGGACATGTTTTTATTGTTCCTGAGCTCAGACGGAATGTTTACAACACGTTGCCATTGAATATTACATTTTTTTCTAGTTTTCTTTAGATTCTTTTTATCAGACTAAAGAAGTTCCCTTCTATTCCTCATTTGCTGAAAAGTTTTACCATAAATGAGTGTGAGATTTTATCAAAGGCTTTCTTTATATTGAGATGATCATATTACTTTCCCTCTTTTATTCTAATATGTTAATGTGGTGAATTTCAAATCTTAAATCAACCTGAAATAAGCCTCATTTGGTTATAGTAATGCTTTCTATGTATTGAATTTGATAAAATGTTTAAGGATTTTGGCATCTATGTTTCTGAGAGATATAGGCCTGTAATTTTATTTTCTGTTAATGACTTTGTTAAATCTTGTTATTGATGTTATGCTCTTCTCATGGAACAAATTGATATGTTCCCTCTTTTTATGTTCTTTGGAAGAATTTGTGAATATTTGTTATTTTTTCTTCCTTAGGTGTTTGGGGGAATTGATCAATGAAGACATCCAGACCTGGAATTCTCTATGTCGGTAAGTTTTAAATTATGAAGTCAAAGTTTTTAGTATATATACGACAATCCAAATTTTTATTTTTCACCTTTTTAAGTTTTCATGTGTTCTTTTTCAAAGAATTTGCCTATTTCATCTAGACTTTCAAATATTTTGGCATAAATCTTTTGTTTTCTCTTTCATTACTTTCTGTTATTTTTATTATTTTTTTCCTCCTACATGCATTGGCTTCAACTTGATGTTCTATTTCTGACATCTTGAGATGGATACTTAAATCCTTGATTTTCAGCCTGTCTTCTTTTCTAATATATGAATTTAAAGCTATGAATTTCTAAATAGGTCTTTACATCCCACAAATATTTAAATATCATTTTCTTTATGATACTGAAAATATTGTTTAAGACATTTTCTAATTTTATTGTGACTTCTTCTTTAACCCATAGATTGTATTCTTAATTTCCCAACGTTTAGGTAATTTTTAGTTTAATTTTTGTCATTGGTTTCTAGATTTATTTAACTGTGGTCAGCAAACATATGCCATATAATCTTAGTACTTTGACACATGTTGAGACTTGCTTTATGGCCCAGTCTATGGTCACTTTTGTTAAATGTTCCATGTGAACTTGAAAACAATGTGTATTGTGCAGTCGTCTGGTGTAGTGTATTTGTATTAAATCAAGTTTTGTTAATCATGTTATTCAAATTTTCTATATTTCTACTGATATAGTTTTGTCTTCTTGGTCTCTTAGTTACTAAAATAAGTATGCTAAAGTCTCCAACTATAATTGTGAATTTGCATATTATTACTTTTAGTTTTATAAAAGTTTGCTTTATGTATTTTAGAGCTATGTCAGTGGGTACATACAAACTTAGAATTGCTACATTTTTCTGTTGGATTAACCCTTTTACCATTATAAAATGTCCCTATTTATCTTTATCTTAAAGTTAACTTTCTTTGACAATAGTATATCTCCATGAGCTTACTATCCATTTGTGTGTACACAGTATTTCTTCTCCATTTTCTTTTTGTTTTTAACCTTTATGTGTCCTTATATTTTAGGTGTATGTCTTATAACCTACTGTGCCAGCTTTGTCTTTTAAATGGTGTATTTAATCCATGAAATTTTTTGTAGTAAGAACACTTAATATGAGAGCTATCCTCTTGACAAATTTTTAAGTATACCACACAGGATTGTTAACTATGGGCACATTATCATACAGGAGATCTCTAGAACTTATTCATCTTAATCCAGTTACTTTTTATGTAATTATTTTTGGATTTAAATATGACAACTCATTTTTTATTTAGTATTTGTCCCATATTTTTGTTCCTTATTTCTTCTTTCTTGCTTTCTATGTATTAATCAAACATTTTTATTACACTTCTCCCTCTATTATCTGATTAGTAATACATTCTGTCATTATTCTTTTGTAGTTATCTTAGAGATTACAACATAATTTTTTGATTTCTTAGAGTTTAATACAAATTAGTATTTTTACATCTCCCCAAACAATGCAAGTACCTTACAACACTTTAACTCCACTTATTACACCCACTTTCATCCACTGTTACTACTATAAATTTTATCTTTCATAAAATTTTTATTTTATTTTGAACTTAACATATTAGTATATTATTATTTGTAAATAATTAACATTTGTGTTCTATGTCCACATATTTGCTCTTTTTGCGGCTCTTTATTTCATCTCGTATTAACAGTGCCTCATCTTGGGTCATTTCTTTCTACCTGAAGAAATCCCATTTGTATTTATTTTAGTGCTTTTTGCAGCAGTGAAATTCTCACAGTTTCTGTTTGTGTAAAAATGTCTTTCTGTTCATTTTTGAAGAATACTTAAGCTGTGCTAAAAATCTCCAATTGGCAGGGTTTTTTCTTTCAAAACTTTAAAAATATCATTCCATTGTCTTCTAGCTTCTGTCCCTCATTTTTCCCTTGACATATATAGGTTAGGATCACCTATGTACCAAAGGAATATACACGTAATCATTTATAACATAAAAAAATAATAAGCTTTGAAATAAAGAAAACTACTCAGAAGTTTAACTTATTTGAACTTCCAATAATTTGAGACTGAGGCCACATCTATATAAACCAGGTATCTTATGATATTTCACTAAATTGTTCCTTTTCTCACTGTTCCTTGGTTGCCTTTTCTAGTGTTCTCCAAAGTGAAGTGCATGTGCAAGACAATCCATTGGAGTGTGGAAATAAGACATTATAACTTCAATTTATATATTTTGCTTCATCTTTTGAAATTTTCTGCTTAATGTATGATTTATGAGGCTTAAGTAGAATATGAATTATACACGCACATATTCAGTTGTGCTCAAAAGAAAATTTGGAGCATAATATTTTAAACTGTAAGAAGGAAGTCAAAATCAATACAGGTGTAAAGTCTTTTTCCCAGAATATGAAAGGAGTGATCCAGCATGTCACACTTTCAAACTGCTAAATTTCCAGGATCCCAGGCCTTAATATCTTCTAGCTACTCTATTGAATGAATCTGGTTTGATCAATTGCTTTTTGGAAAGACAAAAGTACAAGTTTTAACTATTTCAAGAAATCTATGAAGTTTTGTTTTTCAAGACCATTCAGAGCAGTGGTTCTTAACCAGAACTGAGTATCCAAACCACCTGGGAGGAATTTTAAATATAGATTTTATTAAGCTACACCCGGAGATTATGCTTCATGGGTCCAGGAGCAGTACTCAGCCACATTTATATTTTTTAAATTTCCAAGTAAATTCTGATGATTACTTCCAGTTGAGAACCTCTAGACTAGATATTTTTCTTACTCAGTGTCTCCAAAATCTTTTCTAAGTAAATCAGTGGTTATTTAATGATGAATATGGGCCAGACTTTGTGCTGGATACTAGAGATTCACTTACGAAATAAAAATAGACTTGACTGAAATATAAATACATTTGACCATTTTGATTTATTTTATTTTTACTTATGAACTTGATGGTTTAAGCAAGTCAAAAGTAAAGCTCTAGGGTATTTGTGTATATAAGTACAATCTCAGAATTATCCATGGTCACAGCTCATTGTCCTTGGGAAATAATAAAGAAGTAATATTTTTTAAATAAATTATGCTATGTATATCCTCAGTAGATAATATGATTATTATCAAATCAAATTGGCACTTTCAAAATGAAAAATATCATGGACCAATTTTCTCTTTGTATAGCAACAATTTAAAATCTAGATAAACATTCATATGTGTCCCTCTCACACATGACTAGTGGTTTGATTTAATATAAGTTCTGATAATATTAAAAACTTGTGGGGTTTTTTCAGAACTTATTTGGTGAACTTAGAAAATATGTGGGTTTATTACTGGTTTAGACTTTTTCACAAGAGGATTGGGGCATTGGTTCAATTTACTGTTCTATATAATTAAATGAGATATTTTATATACTTTAAAATTTGTCAAGTTATTGTTTTTATTTCAGCTTTTGGTCCACAGTTTATTTTCATTCAAGTTACTGATGAAAATACACATTTGTTCATCTATGATTTGCTTTAGAGGAGGGTAGCTGTGATGTGAATTACAGGTAGACATTCTTAGATAATGGAGCTCAGAGAATGCATAAGATTTCTCAAAGTGTTACTGTAGAAGTGCTATTAATAATAATAATTATTATTATTTTATTAGCCGTTGTACAAGTTTATTTAAAGCATTTTTCTTTTAACAGACAAGAAGTAAACATGAGAACATATGATAATTTCATACCAAGTAAGAATTTAGTCTTTGGAATTCAATATTATTTAGATTATATTTGAAAATAATTTTAAGGACAAATGACTAGTATCTTCCATTCAATGTGATGAAGCATAAAGTGCCTTGAATTTTTCTTAAAATTTACAAGAAGCATGTATGTATGTGTATGTTGGTATGTGTGTGTTTAAAATAATTCTGGCTTTAACGTGGGTTTGTAGTAGATATTTTAAAAGGAAATATTTAGTTTGTTCTTTCTCATTACAAAAATCAGCCTTAATTGCATAAGGTTCCCTTGTGTTTAAAATTCGTAATTACAAAGCCAAAGTAGAGACAAAAAATATAGCCAGAGAGATGAAAGTAGGCAGTCCATCTGTTGAACAGCTACAACTTTAGGAAAGTTCTCCTTAATACATTGAGCTGAAATCTGCCTGCACTGCTACAACTTTTACCCATTGCTTCTAGTTCTTCCCTCAGGAAACATATAAAAGACGACTCTAACATTGTGATTAAGAGCGTGGACTCTGGAGCCAAACAGTGTTTCAATCTTAACTCTTCTACTTACTTTATGATTTGGGGCAAGTAATTTAATCTTTCTCAGTGCTTCATTTTTCTACATCTTTACAATGAAGACAATTATAAATTATATTATCTAATTCAAAGGGTTGTCATGAGCATTAAATGAGTTGATATGTACAAAGTGCTTGAAACACAGTCAGCACTATAACAGTTGTAGCTATTCTATTATTACTATTTCTACCACTCTTCCATATAATAGCTCTTTAAATATTTAAATATAGTGATCACATCTCTCATTAATCTCTTCATCTACAGAACTATCCTGAGTTAGCTTACCAGTTTGTCTTTTAACATAGCTTCCAAATAGCTTGATCTCCTCGTCACTCTATTCCTCAAGTGTGTATATGCCCTTCTTTAAATAGGGTTCCCAGAACTGAATGCAGTATTTTGTGGCCCTAATTCTGTGGCCCTAAATTCTGTGGGTTAGGATGTCACCGAGATCAGAGGAGGGCTAAGATAAACACTTAGATTTAATCAATCAAGATTTTTACTGACTACTTTATGCTCAGCATTGTGTTAGCTATTATGGATAGAAGAAGTCATATTATCTGCAGTCTAACCAAAATGAAATAAAGAAAAGAAACCAAGATGGAGGAGATGATGGAGATGTTTTAAAGGAAACTGAATCTTTCTCTATTTTCTATTCCTACTGTGTGACTGTATTAATTTAACCATTATGATTTAAGTAACTCTCTCTCTGAAAATTGGTTTAATCTAGAAAATAAAATTACCAATGTCATTTTAAACATAATTTAGCACTATATGGGGAAATCAGCTTTAACTTTTCCTAATTTATATGCAAATAAACTATAAAGTCCAGGGAGAAAAGCTACCTTGTGAGTTATAACTTAGTTTAATTCAAACAATATATTTCTTACTCAAGAATATTTCAGTCCTGATGAAAATTTTGCTATTAACTGAAAATTGTTTATTGTCCTCTCTCACATTTAGTCAATGAATCAAGCAGGCAATTATGGAATCAAGAATACTTCACTTTGACATTTCCCAAACCACCCCAGCCAGGTAGAAAAAAGATATCAAGACCTTCAAAATTACAAGCCACAGTTCCTGTAAGTATTTAAAAGGTAATTTTTAAACTAAATCTATGACAATCCAACAATATGTAAATATAAATTAGATGTATATAATCCAAATTTTACTACCTATTGGAAGCAGATATTTTAAAATTTATAATCCCCTGTACAACGGATTGCCCCCACCTGTTTCAGATTAAACTTATTTTTATACATGATTCTCCATTTCAAAGACATTATATAGCTAATAGGCTAGGCACGCTGGAGAACCTAATGCTGCAACTGGTGGACTCTCTCAAGAAATGTTTACCAGCTACAAAAACATCTAAAATTTTAATTTTAGATCAGGAGCTGATCTTAATGAGGTTTCAGGGCTTCTCCATTTTCTTTAATCTGGAGCTCCGGACACTAGATAATGGGAGATTTAGGTTTTCTACTGCTTTTGTAAAGTGGAGTTATTCTATCAACTGGATAAAAGAAAAAACAGCCTACACAGGTCACCCATGGTGATATCAAAATATGTTTTGCAAGCACTTCCCAGAGCAGAGTTACAGTCAATACCTTTATTCAAGGGCCATTCATTACATCTGTAGTGATCCAAGTTTAATATTTCTCTTCATGTTCCTCCTTTAATTCCATATGACCATTTTATTGACTAATGATGTCCATACTGGATAGTTGAAGGAATTTAAGGAGTAAATGTAAAATTAGTCTATGTTACTACTATGACAATCAGATTTTACAAATATTTGGGTGAGAGTTTAAAAACATTACACTACTGCTAGTGTGGATCAAACATTTGTTTCATTTTTATGTCCTTGTTTTTGGCAGTACTTCACAGCAGGGCTCTTAGGCTCTCAATTTGATCAGAGACCTTGAAAGCAGGAGTGAAAATCAGGCTAGGCCTGAAGCCTACAGCTATCATGAGAATTGTCATGACAAACTTCAAGGGCATCAGCTTATTTTTGAGATAATGTGGGGGTGAAGGGTACACAAAAAGTTTCAAAAGATGTCTGCTATATAGGGCTCCACATGGAACACACTGTCGACTGTAAGAATAGTCCCTGAAGTGTCATGGATCATTGTGGGCCTGTTCCAATCCCAATATGAATCATTGAGGAAATCCTAAGGTTCCTCCTAAAGTCATTTTATTTCCAAAGTGGAGTTATCTCACATACACACACAAATACACAGAAAGTTGAAAAAGAAAAACATTTTTCAATTTTAAATAGATGGTTAAAGAAAACCTAGACTATTTTCATGTTTCAATATAAAAAGATATAACTCACTCAGAAATGCTCATCGTTATTCTAACTAATATTTTCAGAGACATGACAAAAGAAAATTAGAGGAAGTTCAGAAGCCAGCTCATATATGGATAAGGCATTCTTTAGGAAAGATTTTCCAAAGACCATCTATTTACTCAACTTTCAGGAGACAGCCTCCATTCAGCCATCCTTATACTCCTAAAACCCATTCTGAAAAGGCAGAATATAAAAAGTACAAAGACGTCAAAAAAGGAATAACTTTGAAGAAAGGTTCCAAGAAAAATATAGGCCCACATGAAACAACTCTAGAATCCAAGAAAACAGCAAAAGAGAAACATAAAAGAGGAAATAAAGTAGGTAAAACTCCAATAAAATCATCACATGAAAGTGAACTATATGAGAAGTCAAAATCCAAATCAGAAACAAACTCAGACTCCAAAGATTCTGAGGCAGTCTCAATGACAGATCCAAAAAAAGATAAGAGAGATTCAAAGAATTCCAAGGAGACTGACGTTGAATCCGTACGTACAAAGAAGGATTCTAAGAGCACAAAGAACAATTCTGATGCCAAATCAGAGACTTGCTCAAAAGATAGTTCAAATGTAGATTTAATGATGCACTTAGAGGAATCTGGTGCTGAATCCATGGAATTTGATATGTGGTTAAAGAATTACTCACAGAATAATTCAAAGAAGCCTCCGAAGGACTCAAAGAAAGATGCAAAGAAGAGCTCTGATGCTGAATCTGCAGATTCAAAAGATGCAAAGAAAGATAAGAAAGGTGCAAAGAAAGACAAGAAGGATGCAAAGAAGGACACAGAGTCTACTGATGCAGAATCTGCAGAATCAAAGGATGCAAAGAAAGATTCAAAGACCAAGAAAGATGCAAAGAAAGCTGACAAGAAAAAGGATGACAAGAAGAAAGATGCAGAGTCTACTGACGCGGAATCTGTAGACTCAAAGGATGCAAAGAAAGATTCAAAGAAGGATAAGAAAGATTCAAAGAAAAAGGATGAAAAGAAGGATTCAGCGTCTACTGATGCTGGATCTGAGTCTGAATCAGAGTCAAAGAAGGGTAAGAAAGATGAAAAGAAGGATAAGAAAGGTTTAAAGAAAGACGACAAGAAAAAAGATGCAAAGAAGGATACAGCATCTACTGATGCTGATTCTGAGTCTGAAACGGATCCAAAAAAGGATAAAAAAGATGAAAAGAAGGATAAGAAAGATTCAAAGAAAGCTTCAAAGAAAGATGACAAAAAGAAGTCTGCAGTGAAGGCTGAAGAGTCTACCGAAACTGAATCTGATTGGGAGTCAAATAAGGGTAAAACTGATTCAAAGAAGGCTAAGAAAGATTCAAAGACAGATGCCAAACAGCAGGCTGAAAAGAAGGACATAGTGTCTACTGATGCTGAATTTGATGAGTCTTCCAAGAAAGACCCAAAGAAGCCCAAAACATCCAAAAGTTCAGATGCTGAATCTGAAGAGTCACTAGGTAAACCCTGGGCTAAAAAGAGAGGAGCTGATGAGTCAGATGCCACATCTACAGATTCAAAGAAGGAAGCACCGAAACTAAAGAGAGGTTTAAGACTTTCATCCAGAAAGACTACATTCAAAGAAAAAGGAAAAAAACCAAGGGTGGGTGGAATTCCTGTGTTAAGAGAAAGACCACCACTACCTCCTTGTGAGTCTTTCCTACCATCACCTAAGGTCAAACGTCTCTGTCGGTGCAAGATGCCACCTCCCCCTCCAAAACCAAGATATGCTCCTTTGGTATGTTTACTTCTGTTTTACTTTTAGAGAAAATTTGGTTTAAAAATGAAAGATATTTTGAAGTTTTGCATTTATGTTTTCTCTAAGGAATAGTTCTCTTTTACTGGAATATTGACAAGTTTGGAACTTGCAGGCAAGAAATATGAAGAGTACTTCAAAATGACTCAAAAGAGTTGCAAAGCAAATGTCAAAAAGTTAAGAATAAATTTAGACTGGAGCAGAGAGAACTGGCTTATGATTTAAGAAAACATTTAAAATTATTTGTAAAGAGAGTCATATTACAAAAATGATTAACTGTTTTATATTTAAAGAACAAAAATGAAAATTAACTAAAACTTCTACAGGGCAGATTTAAGTGAGATATAATGACATTTCCTAGAAAGTTACTGAATATAGTAAAATCTCAATCAAAAAACACACATAGCAGGGTAGAAATATAACATCCCAGGATTCAGATATACAAAATCTATATTATTTAATACATATCAAAACTAAACTTTACTATGAGCTGTCATTCTTAGTGATAATCAGGAAAAAAGTTAACTTACCAGAAGTAACGAGACTCTCTATGATCTTTGGTTGAGGTGTAATTCATTTGCATGGTTTCTGGGTATCAGCCTGTGTTTCCTCTACTTTCACACAGTGTTCATTGTTTATTCTCAGTGTGATAGGGCTGATGCCCTCTGTCCTGCTAAACTCAGAACATCTTTAGATATGTCTGGGTTCTGACCTTGAGCTTCTCATTTTAATTAATTTCCTCCCTGCCTTCCTCCTTTTCCTCCCTGTCCTATTCTTCTTCTTCTTCTCTCTCAAAGGGCTCCTATTTCCTCTTCTAGTCTGGTGAGGATCTCCAATTACCTTGTATTCCAAGTTTTTTCTATCCTTGGTTTATAGTAAAACTTCAGGTATAGACCTCCATTAGCTCTTCATTTATTTTCCTTTTTTTTTTTGGAATTTAGAAATCCCTTTTCTCTCTCAAAAAAAGCCTGAATTTCAAGTCCATTTTTCTCCTAGTGGACTCAAAAAGTCAGCTTCTCAAAGCTGATTAAGGACTCCCTTGTGTGAGGGTCAGTCTTAGAGGTTGAGTCAATGGGTAACAACTAGGGCAACAAGATTTACAAGGAATGAAAATACATTGGTGGATAATTTCTAAGGTAGAAAAAAAAAGAACCCTCAAATAGCTGGATTCTTTTCCACAAGCAGTTTTTATGAAAAATAGCTAAAATACAGGAAAACAAGTTGGGGCCAAGGATTAATTTTAATTGTAAAAAACAACTTTCAAGATATGTTCTGTGCTTGTATGCATTCACACCAAGTCCCTTTAATAAATTTCCATACGCATAACTACTATCCAGTCAGGCCCTTCCATCCCTACCACTTGACTAAAACTGCTCTTTTCAAGATTACCAAGTAGCTTCTTGTGGTCACATCCGCTGGTCTCTCCTATCTCTTCAGCTTATTTTACAATTCAACAGCATTTAAACTAGCTTCTTCCTCTTTCTAAAAACACTTACTTTACTTGGCTTCTATGACTCTATGCTCTCCTGTTTTTTTCCTACTTACTGGTAACTTTTCACCACCTTTATTGCATTCTCCTCGTCCTCACATTTATTGTCAGAATGACCAAAGACTTGGTCCCGGACCTTCTCTATTTACAGTTCTCCCTTGGTGAGTTCACCCAATCCAGTGGCTTTAGAAACCATCTATTTATTGATCACTCCAAAATTAATATATCCAGCTCTGTTCTTTCCATTGAGTTCCCAATTCTTATATCTAACTAGCTACTTGAACTTTTCAGTGTAGGTTCTACTAGGCATCTCAAACTTAACATATCTCAACAATACTCTAAACCCATCCCAAAATTTATTCCTCTCCTGTCTTCTCTATCTTAGTAAATAGCACCACCATCCACCCATTTGATCTTTTAAAACCTGCATATCATCTATGATTCCTCTTTTTTCCTCATTCCCCACATGTAATCAATCAGTAAGACTTGTCTACCTTACCTCCAAAATATATTCTGAATCAACCCACTTCTCTCCATCTCAATCACTACTACCTTATGGTCTCAATCACCTTCATCTTTCCTGGAATACTGTAAGAGTTCCTAACTAGTCTTTCTATCTATTTTCCCCTGCTTAAAACACTCTAGTCATTTTCCATTATATTCAAAATAAAACTCAAATTTCTTACCCTGACTTTTAATGCCTACATTATCTAGCCCTTATCTATTTTCCACCCTCATCTTATATCACTTTTTTCCCTTTTTTATGATCTAGCTGAACTGCCATTCTTTTTGTTTCTCATATACAACAAGATTGTTTTCTTGCCAACACTTTGCATATGCTGCTCCATTTACTGGGAATGCTCTTCCCCAGATCATTGGATGACTAGTCTCTCTCATCATTTAGTTTTTCAGTTTAAATGTTCTCTCTTTAGAGAAACCTTTCTTGATTACTTTATCCAATGTTATCCTCTCCCGTAACAACTGTCTAGTCGCTCTCCTAACCCTGAATCCTACTTTATTTTTCTTTGCAGAATGTATCTAAAATTTTATACTTATTCATTTTTTAATTATTTTCACCATTAAAATTCAGACTCCATGCAGGCAGTGAGCCTTATCTGTTTTTAAATTCCTGTATCCACAATTCCTCAAGCAGCACCTAGCTACATTTGGTCGGTTAAGAATTTGGTCTCTCTAAAGACCTGCAGATCATTTCAAACTAATAGACTTTCTGATATATGTTTTTTCCAAGCATTTCTACTCCAGCAATATCAGACTATAAAGAAAAAACAGCAAGGCATGTTGGAAAGTGGGGAAATCACAAAAGTTCACCTTACATTCTAAGTGGATGTCTGAAAAGGATACATATGTATCCTTCACATTTGTGTGGGGGAATTTATGAGCAGACTATGTTAATGCATCATAGATGTTTTTTAGCATGGGCTTGAAAAACCGTGTCCTTATCCCTTACTCCCCCACCAGAGTCCTATTGATTCTCACAAAAGCATACAAATAGGGCTAGGGCCATGTTTCAGGTTCTGCTCTATTTACATTCGTGGGTTAAAAGAATTCATGTCTGAAATTTGGTTTGTAAGCTTTACATGATTCTCAACCATGGATAAAGAATTCTTTATACTCCACTTATTGAGGTAGAAAACCAGAGTGTTAGAATGTTTTGTTTTCCATTCTAATTTTTTTTCTTTTCCTTTTTTTAGATATAATTGACATATGACATTATGTTAGTTTCAGATGTACAAATATTCAATATTTGTATATATTTAGAAATGATCACCACAATAAGTCTAGTTGACATCCATCACCATACATAGTTACAAAGTTATTTCTTGTGATGAAAAATTAAGATCTACTCTCTTAGAAACTTTCAAATATACAATACAGTATTACTAACTATTGTCACCTTGCTGTAGGTAACATCTCTGTGACTTATTTATTTTATAGCTGGAAGTTTGTACATTTTAACCCCTTTCACCCATCTCACTCACTCTCCACCCTTCCCACATCTGACAACCAACAATTTGTTCTCTATATCCATTAGCTCATTTTCATTGTTGTTTTTTTCTGGTTTTATTTTATTTTCCATGAATAAGAGAGATAATACAGTATTTGGTTTTTTTCTGTCTGATTTATTTCACTTAGCATGAGATCCTCAAGTACCATCCATGTTGTTGCAAATATCAAGATTTCTTTCTTTTTTATGGCTGAATAACATTCCTCTGTGTGTGTGTGTGTGTGTATGTGTGTGTGTGTATAATGTTTTCTTTATCCGTTCATCCATCGATGGATACTTAGGTTGTTTCCATATCTTGGCTATTGTAAATAATGCTGCAATGAACATGGGGTGCATATGTCTTTTTGAGTTACTGTTTTCATTTTCTTTAGATAAGTATCCAGAAGTGGAATTGCTGGATCATATGGTAGTTCTATTTTTAATTTTTTGAGGAAATTTCATACTGTTTTTTCACAGGCTGCACCAAATTATATTTCCACCAACAGTGCACGAAGTTTCCCTTTTCTCCACATCTTCACCAACACTTGGTATTTCTTGTCTTTTTGATAATAGTTCTAAGAGGTGTGAGGTGATAACTCATTGTGGTTTTGATTTTCATTTCCCTGATGATTGGTGATGTTGAGCACCTTTTTATGTACCTATTGGCCAGCTGTATGTCTTCTTTGGAAAAATGTCTATTCAGATCCTCTGCCCATTTATTAATCGGATTGGTTTTTTTTTTTTTTTGCTATTGAGTTGTATGAGTTCTTTATATATTTTAGATATTAACTCCTTATCAGATATAAGAGATTTTGATTTGCAAATATTTTCTCCCATTCTGTATGCTTCCTTTCCATTTTGTTGATGGTTTCCTTTGCTGTGCAGAAGATTTTAAGCTTGATGTATTCATGCTTGTTTATTTTTGCTTTTGTTGCCTTAGCTTTCGGTGTCATATCCAAAAAATCATCACCAAGACTAATGTCACGGAGTTTAGCACCTATGTTTTCTTCTAGGAGCTTTTTGGTTTCAAGTCTTACATTCAAATCTTTGATCCATTTTGAGTTAATTTTCATGTATTTTGTGTAAGAAAGTGGTCCAGTTTCATTCTTTTGCATGTGATTGTCCAATTTTTTCAACACCATTTATTGAAGAGACTGTTTTTTTCTCATTGTATATTTTTGGCTCCTCTGCTGTGAATTAATTGACCATATATGCATGAGTTTATTTCTGAGTTCTCTATTCTGTTTCATCGATCTATGTGTCTGTTTTTCTGCCAGTACTGCACTGTTTTGATTACTGTAGCTTTGTAATATAGTTTGAAATCAAGGAGCATGATGCCTCCAGCTTTGCTCTTCTTTGTGGAGTTTGCTTTGGCTATTCAGGTTCTTTTATGCTTCCATTCAAATTTTAGAATTGTTGTTCTATTTTTGTGGAAAATGCCATTGGAATTTTTAAAGGATTGCATTGAATTTGTAGATTGCTTTGGGT